GCAGCTCGCTTCGTCTTGCAGATCTGCTGCTCGGGGTATGTTACCTTGCGCAGCTGGTGCTGTCGAAACGATGGTGCCGACGCAGGCTCGGCCACCTTGGATGCGAGGGTATCGGTCTTTGTCAATGGCCGTAGCGGTACGTGATTCCACAGGACCGAGTGCCTCTGCTGTTCTTCCACGCTGTGCGTCGTCTTCAGAACGGGCTTGAGTCTCGGCCACGACGCCGCGCCGACAGTCACGTCGGCAGTATGTGGCGGCGTTTTCGGTGGTCCGCGTGTGTCCTGGACGTGGGACGATGCCTCGGCTGTCGTTTTCGCATCCGCCGTGAAATTCGTGTCCGTCTTCTTCAGATGCAGGCTGGCATCGCCTGCGCGCTTCTCGGGACTGGAGAGCCAGGCTGGTGGGTCGGAAAGCCGCGCCTTGGGCGTGGCGATCGAGCTCGGTCCTGGTTTCTTGCCTTTGCTTTCTTTGCCATCGGCAAAGAGTGAATGTCCGTGAGGTCTCTCCTGCTCTCTGATGCGCGAGAGCGGGTCTTTTCCCATCGTGTGCGTCTTCTTGATCGTGTTGACCCGCGCGAGGGCGTCTGTACCGATGCTGTGCGGTGCTGGACGCAGCGCCGAGGGAGAAATCGACGACGTCTCGCGGCTCGACGCAGGTGAGTAGGAGAGCCGCCGGGCCGGGCGAGCTGAGACGCTTCTCCCGGGTTCCATGGCGGCGGAGCCAGCGGCGAGATGCTCCATGATGTGTTGGGCGTGGTACATGTCCTCGGCATGGTGGTAAAGCTGATCGATCTTCTTGTCGAGAGAGTTCATCGACTGGCAATGCGGCTCCTCGGTCTCGGCATCCAGAAACGGGTCGCCCTGTGCCGTGTTCTTTGCCATGGCGTCCGCGTGGGTACCCGGCCCTTGAGCTATTGAGTGCCCGGAGGCATGGTGGCTGGTGTGGTGTGTCAGTAGACGCTCCGTAGGCTGAACTGGTCCATGTCCTGGTCCGACGTCTCGTCTGCGTACAGACGGTCCCTGCTGATATGGTACGCAGTCAGACAGCCGCGTGGGTTTCCGTGCCCGGGCTGCCGTACCAGTCATCTTAGGCTGGGCGATGTTGCCCTTGGTTCTCTGATCCGCAATGACAAAGGGGTTGTTCTTGACAGCGATGTGAGCATTGTCTGACGACGTCTTCGGATGTGTCTCGGTGCGTGGTCTGTTTGACGGCGTCGTGGGCATTGTGTTCGACGTCACCTGCTGCCTTGTCTGTGGTGTCTCGGGATGGCCCTCGTACGAAGGAACAATGACGGTCGGATCGTCAGCATTGCCGTTCGCTGGCGAGGTCGTACACTTGACACAAGTAGAGTGTCCGCAGTCAGAACAAAACTTGTTGGTCGTGACGGGCGCACCGCATGAGTGGCAGACCCGAACACGGTCGGTCTTACTCTTTGTCCCGTCGCCTGCGAGGGCCACGCCGTCGTCTTCCGAAAGCCAGCCCTCTGGTAGGTCGATTCCAAACTCGTCAAACATGTCTCGAGCATCCTGGCGGCGCATCGTGGACGTGCTGATTGCACTGTCTGCGGGACACGCGGAGATTGGAGCTGATACATGCCTGTACAAGCGTAGCTGCCTCTCGCAGGGTTCGGAGACGTCAGAGCAGTTCGAAGAGCTTGGTGCTGCTGCTGGTCATGGCTGGGCGGCAGACGGCCCGTCGAAACGGTCGGACGGAGGTGGATGAAGGGCGTATCATGGTCTCGCACGCCGTGCTGGCCGAGATGGCCGCCGCGCCCGCGGAACCACAGCTCGGTCAATCCGTGATCCTCATCATGCTTCTTCCGGCCGGATGGCAGACCCAGGAAGGCGTGGTCATGGGCAAGAGGCGTTGACTCTTCGGCATATCGATTCCGTGACGCTGGCTGCGCAAAGGTCACATCAGCTCGTCGACCCTACCCGAGCCATGTGTTCTGTCGTTCTCTTTCGTCTGGCGACTGAGCTCGATCTGCTGGCTCTGGCGCAGCGAGGTGTCGGATGCGAGAAGACACGAGACCCTTGCGCGGGGTGGTGCTCGGCGGTCGGGGAATCGTCGATGCTGTGGACGTCGTGTCGCAGCTTTCCATGGCGGCAGGCGTGCAGATGCCGTAAGAACTAGAATGTAAGCCTTGTAGCCACGGCTGTCAGTCTGGAAGCAGTGCTAAGTACTGCTGTGCAACGCAGAAGAAAGGATGCTGGAGCGAGGAGACATGTAGTAGGACAAAAGGCAGCTCCTCAAAAGGCAGCTCCTCAAAAGGCAGCTCCTCATGCTTTCGAGGATGATGTTAGGGCACAGGGAAGGATGAACGGCCGCGTCCGCAGCCGCAGTGGAAAGGAGGAGGCAGAGCCCTCTTGCTGCCACTAGGGGAAGGCACGACCGGAACAGAAACATGCGCGGAAGGGGAGATCAACAGCATAAAACATCGCAAGAAGCGGTCAATTACGCAACGCGATGCCTAAGGTATATGCCAATTCGGCGGTTAGGGAATCGGTAACTGTGATGTACAACGCCTCCTGCTAGACGGCTCCTCCTACACTCCTCTATTTCAGGTTCGCCTGCAGGCTCTCGAGAACCTGTTTCAACGTCAGCATGCACGCATCAAACCACAGAGTCAACGGCGAGAACCCACTTCGAGCTCAATCTTGGCCTCAGCAATGTCCTGCTCGCTTCCGCTGCCGCTGGCGACCTTCTGGGCCTCGGCGATCTGGGTGCGGACGGCCTCGGCGGAGAAGTCCTCGAGAGGGTAGCCTTCGACGGCGTTGATGCTCAGGAGGGAGCCGGGCTGGACAGTGGCGAATCCGCCCGAGACTGCGTTTTTCCCACGGGTTAGTGAACCAGTCGATGCCTCGTGTACTGGTTCGAAGGGGGGGTGGGTTCGTCATGACGTACGGAAGAACTGCTTGCTGCCGCCGCTCTCCTCGATGACCTCGATCAGACCAGGCTTCAGCTGCTCGATGCAGGGAACGTGGTTGGCGAGGACACCCATCTCGCCAGACTCGGCGGGGATGTTGACCTGGACGACATCCTGGGACTTGTAGATGGGCTGCGTGCGGCAATTAGCTCGGCTCAGTCCATCGGCATCATCGTCGTGTGCCCAATTCATCTCCGTGTTCCATCTCGCCGTAGCAATCGACAATCTCGGCATTAGGATCGCATTCGTACCTGGTGGGGGAGCGACAGGCTCAGCTTGATCTGCGAAATGGTTAGCCGGACAGGCTCAGGGAGGTCGTCGAGGTGGCTGCTGGGCTTGCCTTGTCGGGGACGGCATCGGCGTAGGTGCGGCGCTGGAGAGGCACGCGGATAGCGGCAGGGCGTGCTCGGAGAGCGGCGCGCGCGATGCGGAGGGAGTTCATGATGGGCTGAGAGGGCAATTGGGGTCTGATGCTGGCGGGAGCTTCAGGTGAGGTCGGGACAGGAATCTTCGCCTGACTCCATTCGCGACCGGCTAGCCGGGAGATTTTCGGTCCAGTCACGTGAGTCGGATGCGAGCCCGATTGAGCGGTATCGCTGAGAGCTGGGTACTCTATCATAGCAATGCATAATATGCATAAAAGGAGGCGTACGAGAATAAGTACTACAATGCACTTAACCAGAAGAATGCACGACGGCTGACCGAGCAGGAACCAACCACATGGAGGATTCTAGTTTGCTCTCGCCACCAAAGATTGAAACCGCGAATGGAGCCATCTTGCCATCCATTTCGTCGATCCTTCGATACCAGGACGGGCCAAGTACAAGTACATGAGAGACAAGAATAGATGTTTCCCGTTTGGCTACGTTTTACCTTGTTCTTACCAGCGTTTCTCGCCGCGTCAAGTATGCACACGGGCATGGCGCGTGGCAGTGTCAGAGACATGCCTGCCGGTGGAGGCTGTTGATAGACACCACATGGACCGCCTTGCGCGGACTATTGGGCGCGTCGTCGGGCAAACGATCAACAGTCGAGAGAGTGTGTAAAAATCGGATCGGTGGCCACAACGTCTCAGTGACAGCTCGGGCTAACGCAGGTTTGAGCTGACGACACATTGTGTGTTGCGTGTTGCGCCAACGTGGATGGCGATCCCCTCACGACATGTCTCAACAATCACGTAACCACGCAGCGTTGCCCTTCATAGCACTGCCATTCCGGCAGCCCAGAGGCGGCAGAGACCCCTATCACAAGCCAATCTGGGCAGGTACACAAAGTGCCAGACAGCACGGCCCGCAGGCAGATCTCGGTCGGTCAGCAGCGGTGACTCGGTGGCTGCTGCAGCTTGCACTTGCGGTGGAAGCCCGCGGTCCCATGACAACAGAAAATCAAAAGCCCATCATGCTCAGTACGCCAGCATCGCCATGCGGGACCCCAAAACACGGCACGACGGTGACCGCGGCCGTAAGGTGAGCACTCGCGGCCGGCAACGCCATGCGTGCGGCGACAGCAGCGTTGAGGCCCAAAACCTCACGAGTCACCCACAAGGTGTGCAGCCTGGTCAGCGTTTCACAATTCGCCATCTTGTTTCCCGCTGTCGATCGGAGCGGCATGACCGACAATCCTTTTCCTCTCTTGCTTTCTCCGACAGGATATGCCGCGGGCGATCCTCCCAGCAAATCGCACATCTCTGTACAACAGGGGAGATCTTACGGTCAAACACGATAATGGGGGGTGCCAAGAGGGGGGAGGCTTGTGATATTCGCCGACGACGCATGGGACTCTACTAGTGGGACGAATAAGCGGCACAGAAGCATGGCCACGCGACGTATTTCTCAGTATGCGACGTATTTTTCCAAACATGCGACGTAAAGGGGGGAGCCGCTCGTCTGTGCTGGCTCTCTGACCTGGCGAACTTCGCGCATAGCATTTCTGGAATGGCATCCCGTGCCGTGGACATGCATGCATTTTGTTGCTCTGGCACAGGCGACTGGTCAGTACAGGGCAGCATCCGGCAGGAGATGGCCATTCCGAAGCCTGCCAATCATGCTCCGATACATGGCCTTCTCCTGTGACCAGTGCGATGGTTACCCCTGGGCCTGGATGAGCGCCAACGTACCACTGTCGACAGAGTCACCGCCAAATGATCGGGGGGCGTACAGACGGCCCATCTGTTTGTCCTCGCGAAATACCAAGCAGGAGATTCGGCCGCGACTGCGACTGGGAGGCCCCCTGGTTGGCGACACTTAATGCACTCAATGCGATGCGTGAGCTTTCCTACCCGCCCTTGACAACACGGCAGGAACAGGGAAATAGCCTCGTGCCGACGAAACCGAGATGCATCATACAAACAACCACTACCAACGACAACAACAACAACAGCAACCACTAACTTGTAGCGCCGCATCAACCGTGTCGTCACTTCATCCTGCTTGGAAAGCCAATTTATTCCCCGCGCCGCCAGTGCCGCGCCAGACGTTGCAGGTGAATGGAGACTGGGGGGTGAGCAGACCAGAGCAAGTCGTGGCACGATAACTTTCGCGAATGCGGGGTTGAAGCTGCTGCGACAGGGTCGCTAATCGCGAAGAAAGGGCGGGGTTCCAGGGTTGTGGGTGGACTCGCGTGGGGTGACGGCCTCTGCCACGGGAAAAGCACTGGGTGTAGTGACGATGTGTTGCTGTTGTCGCTGCTCTCGGCTGGCCGACGGGTTGTCGTCCTGCCCGTGTTGCCGTCCTGCGCCGCATTCAGTCGCACGCGGCTTATGGTTTCACGAATGCAATGGACCTTCTCAAAGTTACCGTTTCGGAGGAGAGCACTTCGCCTGCCGAGATGATCCCCAGTTTGGCACCAACGCGGCGTTCCCGTCTCCTGATGACACGAGCCTTTTTTCTGGGCTGTCGTCAGTCACGTTGGTTGTACACAGTATTGTGACGGTGAAACCTGACCTGACTTGACCCCCATCTTTCTCTACCGTCAGGCGACACCTCCGAGTATCCCATCACATTCCCCCGCTCGCCCGCTTGTCACGGCGCCGCTGCGCGCAGGCAAAGGTGTGGGTGAAGCTCCTTCAGCTCCGGGTCCCGTGCCAAGAACGTGCAGGAAGGGTGGTGTCGTGGAGGGTGGCTGATGTCGTCACTCTCGGTGCATTTCGGCGGCGAGGGCAAGCGTGGTGGACTTCTGGCGCCGATGCTGGTTTGCAGAGCTACGATGGAGGGGACGAAAACATGATGATGGGGGGCACACGAAAGAAGCCTCTCACTCGTGCCCACGGGAGCTGCGGGAGCCGATGGGACACAAGCTTGCGAGGGAGCGTCGAAAGAGGCCCCCGGGTACGGGCTGCTGGGACGATGTCGAAAGCGTCTGGCATGTCACAGGTCCTTCTAGTGAACTCAAATGCTGAGAAGTGCCGACATTCGGATGGTCTCTCGGCTGCCAAGCTCTCTGTCTAGGGGACAGAAATGATGATGAGACGAACAAAAGTCTTGGTAGCCAGACCCGAGCGAAAAGGGATACATGCGCGCCGTCAGCAAAGATGCCAGCCAGCTAGCCAGAAATTGGCTTCAGCTGTGTAAAAGCTGTGAGAGCTCTCCTGCATGGTGTTCATTCACCCG